TGTACAGATATGTAAACAAAACTACTAAGTATCTTATTTTTTCTATCGGTTTCCTAATATTTCTTTTTTGGCTTTTCTCTTATCAAAAGAGTTTTAATATGTACTATTTTTTTTTATAAAAACAAAAGCTTATCTAAATTTGTAGTATTAGCAACGGGCTTCTTCATGCTTTTATGAAATTTTACTGAACGCCCATGCACGCACGAGTTCGTGCTGACAGCAAATATTCCGGCCCGTACCCGCGAGCTTATGCAGGGGCCCGCCCGCAATAATCAATGGGGAGCTTTTGCGAATGCAAATGTTGTGCAAGTTCACCGACAAAACGCATATCTGGCAAACAAAATGACAGATTGTAGCCAACAATTTTTGATTGTGGTCGTGTTATCCGGGCGCGCACAACAACAACAAAACTGGTCAAATGTCATATATATCAACTTTGATAGAAGTGTTTCCAAACATATTATTTCTTAAGCTGTATAACCGAGCTATCAATGGGCAGTCATACGAGTTCCCACTTCTACTTGACCTTTGACGTACGTTAAAGGGAACATTGTCCGTTTAATAATTTTTTTTATTGTTTTCTGTGCTTTAAATAACTGCAGTGGCTTCTTTCTTTATTATGATTTTTTTGGACCAATCTTAAAAAAGCTACTAGACATAAAAGAAGAAAGTTTGCACTGTAATTTTAAACTAAATTTTCGGTATTTGTTTTTGATGTTACATATATTTGTTTCAACCTTTTCAAATGGGGCTCTTTGGGGAATTTATTTTTAGCAAACATTTCAAAAACAGTAATTTTGTTTACTTGTCGGGCATTTTTTTTTCATACAGATCTACATTGGATCCTTGGCTGAAAACTTCTGTGGTAAAACTACGTCTTAGTCTTTTTTTTTGCTATTTAAAGTCAAAGCGTAAGCTCCTTCAATAGGGATTTCCAGCAGAAATGATCAACGTTTGGCTATGAAGAGAATTGATGCTCAAATAAGGTCTGACCTTTAATTAGCTAAGAATTACGTAAATATCTGACACCTTTATCATCCCTGATTCCAATAACTCAAATTATTATAAAAAAGTAACAATATTCTGATCCGATTCGGTTGGCAGCAACGACTTTGAAAACAGAATTTTGTTCAAATTCCTTTGTTGTCCTGGAAAATAATGACGTATTTTCCATATCCACCTATATATTTAGCTCGCTATAAGCGCAATTTTTTCAAACCAGTCACAGAATAAAGTATTAAAAATGAATGACAAAAACTAAAATCAAAAAACGCTGATGACGTTACAGGTTCCCCAAATTCAGAAGCAGCCAAAGGAATGAGAGTGAAGAATTCTTTTTAAAAAGCTTTAGAAAAACCTGACACATCTAGTTTGGCTTGTAAGAGGTGTTTAAACAACGATCTCGCCATTATGCTAGATTCTTCAAGTGAATATGAAAGGCCAAGCAGAGGTGGAACCGTACAGGATCATACAGTATTACCCGACAGTTCTGGGTGTTCTACGACCCACTTTAAACCAAAGCTTTCTTAGGAATGAGCAAAGACGATACCTACAAACTTACTGCAGTATGCACAGCGCACTGGCCTGTTGAGGTACATGGCGAAAGGATTGGATTGCCCTTCAAAAGGTTCTGTCATGGTTGCGATAACCCTTGCTCAAAAGAGACAGTCGAACACTTCCTGTGCGAGTGCATATTTTTCAATTTTGAGTACATATTATATGCGCATATTTTCGATTTTTTACGGAACGGATTCAGAAATTTTACTCTACGAACTTCAAAGATATTCGGGTTCAGTGATGGCATTTTCGTCGATTTCACGAAAATCGAACCTACGATGGAGTAAATAATTAACCCAAATTAAAACTGTAATTTTTTAAGATTACAAAAGGTTTGCTAAGTTGAGTTAAGGGTTGAGTTCATTTTGCCAATTATTTCCTTATACAACAATCCGCAAATATATTCATAAAAAACAATCAAATGCAGATTTATGAGAGTATGTGTTGTAATCCTGTAAATAGTGCGTGCCTACCTTTAACTCAGTCGCCAAGCAGACAAACGCATCTTCCACATTTGTATTTTGTTTCGCTGATGTTTCCATTACGAAAAGTATTTCCGGTATATATTGGCACATTTGCTTTGCTTCTTCGAAGTCCACTTCGCGTTCTTCTTCCAGATCGCATTTATTACCAATTAAAATGAGTAATACGTTGGATGCTGTGTACCGTCGTACTTCTTCAATCCATTTTTGTAAATTTGAAAAGGACGATCGCTTGGTTATATCATAGACTATTGGGGGAAAAATATTAAAAGTAATCATGGTGGGCGAATAAAAATGTACAATATTTTTGTTTTAACTATTGAATGGTGGTTCTGATTATTGCGTATAGTATTATTGCATATTTGGCATTTGTCTATGAAACTATTATTACTGAATTTTAACTTGGCGAAATCCCAGCCATCCTAAATCTTCGGAAACGTATTCGAAAATGGGGAAAAATGCGTGTAAAAATCGGATATTTCATCTGCCTTCCGATTTCATTAAGTTTGTTCCACACGATCCTGCGGGATCACGCGGGTGCCCAAAAGAGCCCAGAAAACGTTCCTCACGCTAGAAAAATGGGTAATAGATAGCGAATGTCTTCTTCTTCGTGCCCGAAACAGCCGGGACTTTTTTTTTCGGTCACAAATGTGCAAATTCAAATTGCCATAACAGCTGTTGTCTGTTTACATCCGAAAGCAAATTTTATATAACACAAAAATTTTAAATACCTATAAAGTTTCAAAATATGTGTATGTTATTCGCCGTATAAAATAAGTACACATAACAATTTTATGATAAAATAACTGTTTTAAGCTGATTTGTTGATTCCGGGCAAATGTGGTTTCTTGCGTTCCCCACGCTCTGGGCGCTTTAGCACGTTTTGAGAAATTTTTGTGAGAGAGCAACTTATTTTTACTCTCTAATTACCGAAACAGCGTGTGGAACAAAACTATTTTCGGTCGTTTCGGATACGTTTCCACCGCTAAAAATAATATTTTCGTATATATGGGCAAATCTAAAAAATAAATCTAATAAATCGATTAATATGTGTAATTCATTTTCATCAAGTGCTTCAAATTTAGACGGGGAATAAACATGAAATAGAAAACAAAAGAATAAGCTGGGTTCAAATTACGTTGTTCAAGTTGTAAATTTTGAGCAAATATTTTGAAAGTTGAACTCACTTAATTGGGACGTTCTACTTTCAATGGCATGCCCCGTTTTACCAGATTGGCTCCGGTTTTCGAGATAACGGTTCTTGAAAACTTGATTAAATTTTAACTATTTTATAAATAACTCCCTCAGTTTTGTAGTTATTTTACTAAAATTTTGCACATAACAGTTTTTTAATATTACCTTAATTATTCCTTATAATTATCGAAATGAGTTCACTTTAACATATAGCTCCAATACAACTGATTACTCATATATGTGTTTTTGCGCTATAACTCTAACTTCATATCTGAATAATAAATTGTATGCGTGCTATATGTTAAATTGAACCTACACTAAATATTTACCTGCTTAATTGGAGGAGTTATAACGCAAAACAACGTCTCTGAACAATTAGTTGTATGGGAGCTAGATGTTAGAGTGAACCGATTTCGATGAAGAGAGATAGTCAAGGAAATTTTAAAGTAAAATCGTGTGCAAAATTTAGTAAAATATCTTCAAATCTGAGGGATTTTTTTATATAATAGTTAAAATTTAAGCGAAGTTTCAAGTACCGCTGTCTCCAAAAGTGAAGCCAATCGGGCAAAACTGGGGACGCCATTGAATTTAGAAGACTACTATTAAGTAAGAGCAACTATCAGAACCTTTGTCGAAAAAAAATTGATTTGATACCAAGCTCGAAATATTCTGACTACAAGAAGGAGCATAATTAAAAGTACTAAATCAGGGTTTTTATCCACTTCTAGAGAAAATTGTTGTGAAGGATTTTACAGGTATATGTAACGTTATAAGGACTAGTAGTTATAAAAATATTTAAATCGTTTCGACGTATTTTCCAAATGTGCCTTTAATTAAGATGTTTTTGGAATAAAAATTACGCTCAAGATCGCAGAATATTTTATCTTTAAAAGTTGGTTTATTCTGAAAGCACACCTCTTGCTAAGGTATCAAATTATTCGTAATTGTTTGTAGAATATAATACATACTTAAAAAGTTCTTAAAATTAAATGCTTCAAAAACTATACGCGATAAAGCGAAAATTTTGAAAATGGTGAATGTGGAGTTACAGACTTCGAGTCGCTTGCCATTTAGTTATTTTTAATGCACACTTTTCTTACCTACTACATATGAAGTGTACAGATAAGTGCTAAATGCCCATTAAATTTTAAATCAGAATATGGTGTGCTTCAAAAGTTATGACATAATTAATTTTGCCCCTTTTAAAAATTCCATAAAAAATTCACTTGTTTTCATTATTTTTTTAAATTTAAACACCTATAATTCAAAAATTATACAGCAAATTGATCCAAATTTTTTTTGAGGCTTCAAGTATACGTCAGTGAATTATATCCAAAAGCAACCAGCTTGATATAGTTTCCAACAGTGAAAATAAAGCTAAATAACACCGAGGTTACCGATTTTTTAGATTTGCCCATATACCAGAATAAGCAGAATAAAATATTGGTATAGGCAGTGCACGGACTTTACTACTTTATTGGTAGATCTACCAATTTTTTAGCTATATTATATTTTCTACCATTTTTACCAACAAAGACTAAAAATCTACCAATATTTTCTGGAAAGAAAGCGAAGAGCTTTAAATGAACGCATTATGTATGTCCATATTTTGTCATCGGACAAATCTATATATATAAAAATGTCGTGTTCGTTTGTAACAGTCATCAAAACTCGAGAACGGCTAAACCGATTTGAATAAATTTTTTTTATTGTTCTGTATAAAAAGGATCATTTATATCTAGGGATGGAAATAATGATTATCTTATAAATTTCAACCAAAAAAAATCAGCAAGTTGTAATCGTCGTAAAACAATTTTTACTATACTCACGTATCTGTGTTCATAAATCCTACTGGAATTTACAATGATTTTTATTTTTCGAGTTTAATCAATAAAGATTAAAAATATTAATTATTACTTGATTTTTATTTTTTCGCTAAAAAATAATGATTATTTTATGATTTTTATTTTTTCGCTGAAAGATAATAAATATTATTAAGTTTTATTTTTTCCCTTAAAAATAACGATCATTCAAAAAACTCAAAAGCTATACCAACGTGTTTTCCCACATAATAAAAGGAATAAGTACCAAACTTTTCAGGTCAAAATTTATATAGGTTGCGTCTGTATAGCCTTTTAAATTTTATAAATAATCACTATTTTAAGTGGAAAAATAAAATTAAAAAATAATGATTAACTCTGAGCTAAAAAAATAAAAATCATAAAATAATCATTATTTGTGATCGAAAAAATAAAAATCAAATTATAATTATTTCCGTTGAGCGAAGAAATAAAACTCAAAAATAATGATTATCTCTGAGCGACGAAAATAAATATCAGAAAATTATGATCAAATGCTGATTTGAATTATTTTACTCATAATGATTACCTACCGTCCCTCTTTATATCACAAAAATTTGGAGGGTTGCTTGAAAATTTTAAACTCAATTACATTGATAAAATAAATGACATATTAAAATATGGGTATCAGATTAAAGTGGTTTAAGAAAGATGGCTGATGGAAATATTTTTGAGGAGGGTTGCCACCTGTTTGATAAAATATTGCAATATGGGTGTTGCCGCTAAATATGAGTACATTTACAACTTAATACTTAATATTACACCACTGTAAATTATCTAAGCATAGATCTCACAATTGAGTTATTTATATGCATATATGTATAAATGGTCACCGTTAGGTATG